AATCTAAATCCAGGTTGGATCCGGGGATCAACCGGGCCCATGAGGGGGGAGAAGGCGGTCAGGAGGGCGGTCAGTGCCGGACGAACCTCGGAGACCCCATAGTTGAGAGGGCCGCCGCCCGCCCTGCCCCTAGTGTCTCCTACTTGCCCCATCACCATCACCTTCACCATCCTCACAAGCTGTATACATACAGGGGGCACTTGAAACCAATATGGGTGCCGTACACCCTCTCCTCCCAGGGCCATTACGGCAGCAGGGGCTTGTCTGCATGTGTAAAATCCCAGTCCCACAACTGCGCACGCAGCTTCCTAAACACACGCAGTGCTAGTCAGTCAGCTGGCCCCCCACCCTATCTACTTCACTCCTTGAAGCCCTAAGCTTCCAACAACATAGAGCCCAGTCAGGCCGTACACCACCGCCCTCTTCGCCACCTGCAGCTACACCTACTGCCCATCCCTCCATTTCTGCTCACCCTTTTCTTAATCTTCTCCTGGCCCAGGTACTGCTGTTTAATCATCTCCAGCTCCCTCTCCCGCTCAGCAGCAGTCTGCTCAGGAACGCCCCCACCCCCGCCCCCACCAGCCCCTGCGGCCACCGAGGTACTGCCGGAAGCGCCTCTGCGGATATGAACGCCGCGGGGTGGGTGATGCTGGGGTGTGTGTGTGTGTGTGTTCATGTAAACTGAGGTACACGTGCGTGGATGCGTGTGTGGTGTGAGGGGTGGAGAGAGAGGTGACGGTTTGGCAATAAGGAAGTAAGAAACGCTGGAAGAACCCCGTGTGGAAAAAAGGGGAGGAACACCCCCACCCACACAAAGCCCCGCTGCGGGTGTTTTCGTCGCCCTTACACCACCGTCCCACCCGGTGCCGCTTTGCAGCTCAGGCCTTTGCCTACACAGACATACTCTGCCCAAGTCGGGCGGCTTGGCGCCCGTGCCGGTGTAACATGCTTGCTGATCCCCTCTTAGCCAAATAACATCATCTTTCCCCTCCAGCCCTCCCCTTTGTTCCCCTCTTCCCCGCCCTCGCCCAGCGGCCACTGTACATGCACCCCTTCCCTTCCTGTCATTCGACTCACCTGCCCTTATCGTCGCCACGCCCGCCACCACCACCGCCACCAGCTCCCCGGTCCTTGTCCCGACCGGCATCCCGACGGGCCCCAGCGTCGCGATCTCCGCGGTCCCGGTCACCGCGCGTCCGGTCGCGATCTCGATCTCGGTCTCGATCGCGGTCCCACTCGCGACCAGAGGCTGCCACAGCTGGTGACGGCAATGGCGGCGGCGGCGGCAGCATCGAGCCCCCTCCGCCGCCGCCGCCGCGGGCGCCTCCAGGCACTACCACCTGTGCGCCGGATCTTGCCGAGTCCATTTTGGCCAGCTGAGCGGCCTGCACCCCGGCACGGGACGCCTCCAGCCGGGCCAGAGCCAGCGCCTGGCGCTCCGCCTTCGTCAGGAAGCGGGGCTGCGGTGGAGAAGGCGCAGGGGGAACGCAGGGGAAAGAACCACGCGATTACTGGCTGGGAGGAGGAGGAGAGGTGGCGGTGGGAGCACAATGATGGCCTTGGGAGAGGCGGGGAGAATGCCTGCCAGGACAATTCCTACTGGAGTGCCCTGGGCTCGCATTCGCCAACACAAAGGCAGCGGGGCACGGCGCATTACGTTCTAAGGGGACGGCGGTCTAGGGGTAAAACACCGGACTATGGTGGTAACAATCAGGATGTACGGCGGCTGCTGGAGCACCGCAGCGCGTGACTCAACGCTGTACGGGCCGAAATGTCCGCCGTACGGCCCACTTACACCGCTTTCCAATACACATAGCACATGCATCCCCACGCGATGCACGCGTACGTCATGCAGCGGTGGTGGTGCGGTGGGGTGTGTGCGGAGGCGGCCGTGAGCCGTTGTGTTGTGGGAGGGCAGTATCGGCTTCAACCCGCTTATGCTTCCGCGGGCCGTCCTTCTTCACCCTCCGTTATGGGCAGTGGGCAGCTGGGGGGGAAGGGGAGTTGTGGCTAAAGGCAGGCCAATCAAACATTCATAACATCCAACACCGAGGCGAGGGAAAGAAACCATCCGGAGCTTACATCCAACCCCGGACTCCCCCCATTTTTCCAAACGTCCGTTCCCCACTGTGCAAATAGTTCCAGACCCAAATCGCAAATTATCCAGCTTGGGGTTTACTGCGTTGTTATGGCCCAAAGCTCAGCGTGATGCCTCTCAAAGTCAGCTATCCTGCCACACATCTTGGCCCAGCATTTCTTACATCATCCTTCCATATAACCCCATGACCCAGCCTCAGTGTGTTCGATGCAGTGTTTCCCCCCCCATCCACCCACATTACCCCCCTCCTCCTTCCCCGCTCGCCTTGGACTCTTCTTCCTTTTGCTGTTTCTTCTTCTTGAGCAGCTCCTCCAGGGAGAGGGGCTGAGGGGGGCAGGCAGGGGGGGGGTCCGAAGGGGGGGAGAAAGGGGTTTTCAGTGCAGGTGTGGGAGAGGTGCGCCTCGCAGAGGTCATGTATGTTTGCGGCGCCGAAGAAGCCTAAGACACAAGACTCAAAAACGCGAGTGACAGGACGTGTCACTTCATGGCAACTGGGATGTAACACTGTGGCTAGCGTCAGAGATTGCACGGAGATAATCATCGTTTGTTCTCTCTGATACTACTTGGAGCGAACGCTGTCCATGGACAGCTCCTAGGTAACACACTCCTACCAATGCTATCCTCGCACATTCGCGTTTGACAAGGAGGTCATCCGCCCATGGCCGCATACCTCAGACTTTTTAGTGGCTCCGGGTGACATGGCACGGCCCGCACCGGCCTCCTCTTTAACTTGGGCGCCGTCCGCGGTGGCCTTGGCTTCCTCCTCCTCCTCCGTCTTCACACGTGGGGCGGCAGGACTAGGTGACCGGCGCCTGCCGCCGTCGCGGGCCCCGTCGTCCCTGGTCGCGTCACGCCTGTCACGGCCATCCCGGCCTTCTCTGCCATCGCGAGCCTCGCGTTCCCGGCGCTCCCGTTCTCGTTCTCGGTCCTTCTCGCGGTTTCGGTCCCTGTCCCGTTCTCGATCCCGATCGCGGTCCCGGTCTTTCTCGCGGTCCCTGTCGCGGTCTCGCCGATCTTTGTCGCGACGACTTTCGTCATCTCGTCGGCGGTCGTCATCGCGGTCCCGACGTTCTTCACGGCGTTCCTCCTTTTCTGACCTGCTTCGTTTGGTGACCCGATCTGGACTGCGTGAGCGGTCTCTCTTGCTGCGCTCTCCACCCCGACTGGGACTGGGCGACCTTGAGCGGCCCATTGTTGTGGGCGGGCTGCCGGACTGTGCCGATCACGCCCGCCGCTGCTATGGAGCTTAACAGGGATTGCCAGCCACTATGCCCAAGCCCAAGAAATGTATCGTAGGAACAAAGACCACGGCAATCTGGAAGGTGTCACTTCCACTAAGGAAACGCTAGTTTGCCCAGCTTGTAAGGACGACTTTCTGGGTTTATCCCTGAAGCTAGCTCGGACTTAAGGGGGGGTGGCCTTCTAGTCTCGGGTGCGTACGAGCAGGGCAAGCAAGCTGTGTCATGCGACGTTCCATCCCCAGGTAACAGTGGCATCTTAGTCGCATCTCAAGCAATATTTCATATGCAGCCTGAAATATGATTCGGTTATTGATGTTGTACTGCGTTGCTAATCACGCAACGCCCTATGACATGAAGACCCTGGTCCAAAAACCGGCGACGACAGCTATTGGCCTGTAGTTGACTCTCCTTTTTTATGAAGAGTGGATTACCATGGTCGCTCTGATGTAACTTGGTCGCGTGGGGTGGAAAATGCGTGTCGAGTGTTGCATTTGCTATGAGAAGACGCGAGATCTTGGCGAGTTGGACGCATGTCTCCACAGGTGAAGGTCATCGTTAGCCGGAACCCATTATGGCGTTGGGGCGCTATTGGGGTCCGTGATTCGGCGGGGTCCGGCTGGGGGTTTTTCTCGTCTCGACACCTCCGCTCGGCCATTTGGCTCCGCAGCAGCGCCATGCCGCTATTAAGGAATATCAGGCGCCAGCGCTTTGCAATTCGTTTCGCGTCTTCATATTTAGATCCACCTCAGGCTCCTTCCCCACCCCACCATGCGATCCAGCTCCCCCATCCGTCCCATTATATCCTGTACAATATACCCCAAGTATCCACACACCTCTGACCTCCCACACTTGCACCCCTCCTGACAACCGCTCCTAGGTTTTGCTTCAAGTGTATCTCCCGCTGGGCTGACACCGAGAACAGGTGCCCCATGTGCAAGGAGCGATTCATCGTCATCACCCGGAAGCACCTGCCCTCGTCAGGGGTAGGTGTAGGAAGGGAGACCGGGAGAAGGGGGGGGGAGGGGGAGGGTTTGGCTGGCGGAACATGGGCAGTCGGGGCCTATGCACGCACGTGTGTGCACGAGTGCACGTGACGCATGACTCGACGCACGGACGTTTACGTGCAGCGCTCGTTACGTAAATCAACGTGAGTTGTTGTTTTACTGTCGGTGTCCCTCCCCCTCCACAAAACCACATGCGCACAGCAGGGCCGCGTGAAGAGCTCAGGTGCCGCTGCAGCCGTCGCGTCCACAGCCGGGCAGCAGCAGCTGCAGCAGCCGCCGGGGGGCAGTGGGGGAGGTGGTTGCAGTAGCAGCAGCCCCGCCAGTGTGTGTGGTCGTAAGCGCTCCAGAGGCGTGGCGGCAGGCAGTGATGCGGCACCAGAGGCTGCTGCTACTGCTAGTGCTGGCGGGCCTGGTGGTGGCGGTGATAGTGCTGAGGTCTGTGATTCCGAAGGGGAGGAGGAGGAGGACGATGACCCGGACGCTGGGGAAGGTCCTCGAAAGCGGCTCAAGGGCACGGTGGTCGAAACCCGGGTCGTGCCGGACCGCAAGCAGGTGGGAGATAGGGGGGAAACGGGAGGGGGGGAGGGGAGGAGGGGGGGGAGGGGAGGTCCCTCGTGTCGTACTTGAGCTGTGGTGCGCTGTATTCCACCGTAATGGCACCACCACCGTTTTAACTGAAACACGTCCGTACTGCACTTCCTGGGTGTACCCGGGCTGCCGTACTGCCATGGCACTCGTACGTGCCGTACTACCGCACTCCTGCAGACGTGGCAGCCCGCCGAGCTGCTAGCACTGAACCTGGATTCGCTTCGTTGTCAGATTTGCAACCGGGGCGACGACGATGAGCGGCTGCTGCTGTGCGATGGTGGGTGCGACAGCCGGGGCCCCTCTGTTTGCTGGGGTGGGGGACTGGTCTCTGTGGGTGGGTTGTCAGTGTGGGGGTGCTTCATGGCAATTGGGCCAATACATACGGGTTGATCTTGGCTTGGTGATGGTGAAACCACCCGCCCTCCTGCCCAGCATACCACCCACTTACCCAACTCAACCAACTCAACCAACCCAACCAACCCAACGAACCTGGTTAATCCAACCTGGCCCCCGGACATTTCCCTCGCTTCGCGTCCCCCCTCCCCCTCCCCTCCCCACGGGGTTCCCTCCTCAGGTTGCGACCGGGGTTTCCACACGTACTGTGTGGAGCTGGAGGACATACCTGGGGGTGCGTCAGGTGGCGGTGGGGGCGGGCGAGGGAGGGGGGAGGGCTGTATGTGTGTGTGGGGGGGGGAGGGGAGTGCGGGCGAGGGAGGGTGGGAAGAAATGGGGTGGCGGGCAAACTGCGAGTCCACATGCACACACACACAGACATACAGACATACAGACACATGCGCCCGAGTAGCCAAGGCACCCCTAGCGGTCCCTTACACCCACTCATGCGAACCCACCGCGCCTTTCCTCGCCTCACCTTTACCTTTTCCATGGACGTTTGGCCCAGCCCTGCCCTGCCCTGCCCCTACTGCCCTGCCCTGCCCCTACTGCCCTGCCCTGCCCCTACTGCCCCTACTGCCCTGCCCTGCCCCTACTGCCCTGCCCTGCCCCTACTGCCCCTACTGCCCTGCCCTGCCCCTACCGCCAGGCGAGTGGTACTGCCCTGCATGTGAGGGGGAGCGGACCAGGCTGGCGGCGGAAGCTGGCAGCGGGAGGAGGCGCCGAGGGACTGCGGGTGCGGTTAGAGGAGGAGGAGGAGGAGGAGGAGGAGGAGGAGGAGGAGGAGGAGGCGGCAGCCGGGGCAGGGGCCGGGGCCGGGGCACTCGCGGCCGCGGTCGGGGCTCCACCCCGGGGGCGGCAGCGGCAGCTGTCAGCGACTCGGAGAGCTCCGACGGCGTTGAGGTCGTGGAAGTAGTCGTGGGTGCTCCCGCGGCCGCTGACGGCGGCGGCAGCGGGTACGACACCATTGGCTCCGACGCGGATGACCAGGATGGGCCTCAGGGGGCGGAGGTGGAGTGGCTGAGCGCCAGCGACGAGGACGAAGTGGGGGAAGAAGAGGAGGAGGAGGAGGAATACGACTATTGCAGCGATGGAGACATCGATGGCGGCGGCGGCGGCAGCGCCAACACGCGGCGGCGGCGGGGGAGGGTTCCAAGCCGTCCTCGGGGTCGGGGCCGGGGTCAGGGCCGTACCCGTACGCGTCGACCCCGTCGTACGGCAGCCGCCAGCAGCCGCCGCCGGACCGCCGTCAGCCGCCGCGGCCCCACGCGCGAGGCGCTCCGAGAGCGGCTGGGTACAGCGACCAGGTCGGGTGCAGCCGCGGCCGGCGACTTGGAGGAGGTCCCGCTGGCGCAGCGCCGTACAGTGGCGCGTGCACGTTTGTATACGGACCAGTTGCGTGTGGAGATGATGCGCCGGAATTGGACGGTGAGAGGAATGGCATGGGTGGCGTACACTGTTGTACGGTCGCTGCTGTACGACGCGCCAAGAAACGAAGAGAGGGTCAAGTGCATATCATGCGTAGGAGTGCGTGAATAAATAATTATTATAATAGAAGTAAAAATACATTTTTATAGCTATAGAATAGCTGTATAATTGAATCTACATATTCGACACCCACGTAATGATGTGCTTGAAAAGAAACGTCCTTATGGGGATAGCTATCGGATACAGAAAGAGGGGAACTGTAGTCCTGGGCTCCGGCTCCCACCGACCCTCCCACCGACCCACAGGCCCTGAGACATGCTGAGGCCGAGGCGTTCGGGCAGTCCACTCTGGGAGCAGAGTACCGCCGGACGCACCCGGAGCATGGGGCCACGGCGGCAGGATCAGCAGCGGCAGCTGTGGCAGGGGGCAGTGGTGGCGGCGGAGGCGGCGGTTTCAGTGCTGCAGCGGCGGCACGGGAGCGAGCTCTCCAGGCTCTCCGAGCTCAGCGAGCCCAGGAAGCGGCCGCGGCAGCTGCCCGGGGTACTGTGCGGGGTTCAGACCGCCGCCGTGTCGAGTCGGCCAGCACTGCTAGCGAAGGATTAGCTATGTACGGCACTGGCGCGTACGGCAACGCGTCGACGTCCGTCAGGCCTGGCGGTGGCGGTGCCGCTGACGACGAACTGGCAGGGACCTGGAGAATGTTGGACCGGTTGCGGGGTGCTGCTGCTGCGGGAGGAGGAGGAGGAGCTGCCGCCGCCGTCGCCGACCTCTCCGCCGCTGCCACTGGCTCCGCCGGCAGCGGACGCAGCGGCGCCGCTGCCGCTGGCGGATCGGTCGCCCGCCTGGGCTATCCGTCCGTAGGCCCCTCCCCCCGCGACCTCCTCCGCGCTGCAGGTCCGGGGGCGCTGGTCGGGGGCTTCAGAAGGCAGCAACCTGCCGCCGCTCCAGTGGTGGCGCCTCCGGCTGCGGCTGCTGCGGCGGCGGCGGCTGCGGCAGCGGCTTCCCGCCGGGCAGCTAGTCCCAGGCAGCTCGCCGCTTGCCAGTCTGGTCGACTGCCCGTCTGGCCGCACGCACCCGGGCTGGCGGGGGCCTCAGCGCCCTCCCCCTCCGCGTCCAGACCTCCTCCCGCTCTGTCAGCTGGCGGCGGAGGTGGCGGGGGGGGGACGTCTCAGGCGGGCAGTGGGGATAGGGGCCATCAACCAACGCAACCGCCGTCGCAATCGCAGCCTTCGCCAGCACAGCCTAACCCAGTGCCCACCTCATCACCACCACCGCTCCCGGCCCCGCCGCTGCCCCCGCCGCTGCCGCCAGAGCGTCAACAACCTTCCCACCACCACCCCCAACACCAGCCGCTGTACTCAATGCCGTCGCCCCTCAAGTCTATGTACGATTTGGAGCCCGGGGGGACCCCACCGCCACCTCTGCCACCTCTGCCGCCGCTGCAGCGAACGACGAGGGCACGGGAGGGGCCGGAGGCGGAGCAGTTGCAGCAGCAGCAGCACCGCCACCTCCGCAGTCAAGAGGGTCGGGATGGTAGTGAGGAAGATCAACACCTGGATCTGGATCTGGATCTGGCTGGGGATCGAGGTGGTGACCACCACATGGGAAAGCGGCGGCTACGGCAACGGCAACGGGAACACAACCGGCGGCGGCAGCCAGAGGGCGCTTCGGCTGACGGTACGAGTCCCAGCCACGGAACACATCAACACGCTGACCGCCATCACCGCCACCATCACCGGCACCACCGCGACCGACAGCAGCAACAGCAGCAGGGTCACCACGACCATCCATCCAACAACCGCCACCCGCACCAGCAGCCGCGATACGGCATCGATGACGACTCGGCCGCCACTGCCACCGCCACCGCCACCGCCGCTGCCGCTGGTTTCCGGGACACACGTGCCCACCCTAGCACTGGCGGTGCTGTCAACAGCGATGGCGGCAACATGGCCGAGGCGAGGGCCCCGGACGACCGCGCCGCGTCCATCAAAGCCGCAAAGCTGGCGGCGTGCGAGGCCGTGAAGTCGTTGATTGCGCCGCTGTACTCTCGCCGCCAGCTGAGTAAGGAGGAGTTCAAGGAGGTGGCGAGGGCGGCTACCGCAGCGCTGTGCGAGGACATGGCGGCAGCGGGGCTGGGCCCCTCGGATCTTAGGAACAGGAAAGCGGAAGGGGAGGCGAGGGGAGGGGGAGAAAAGGGGAAGGGGGAGGAGCTGGCGGCGGCTGCTGTTGCTAGGGCGCTGCGGGGCTTGGGGCTGGGGCACCTGGTGGAGTAGGGGGAGGGGGGACTAGGAGGGAAAGAGCGGGGGGGGGAAAGAGCGGCATGTCAGGTTCGTTTCGTTGTTGCGAAGAACTGCATACGGACGGCGTTGTGGGTTTTCAGGGGTTTGGAGGTCAAGAAGGGGGTTTCGGAGCAAACCGATTCGGTGGCAATTCATCGGTGCCATGTGCGGATGGAGGTCCTGTGCTGGTCCTACTTGTGTGCGGAGTCTTTTCTGCAGGCGAGTATGTATGTATGTGTGTATGTATGAGTATGAGTGAGTTCTGGTATACCTGTATGCGTGTGCGTCTGCTATGACCAGAGCTGCATTCGCGGGTGTTTGTGTGTGCAGCAGGATGGCATGTGTGCAGCAGGATTGACACACAGGGCTGTGGGCTGCGTAACCACCCCCTGGTGGACATGTGTTTCTGAGTCGCGGAGTGGGCAACACATGATCCCATCTTTGCAGGCCGTGACCGTTTGTACGTGTTGTGTGTCTGGGGGGTCCAACAGTTGCTACTGGAGGGGAGCTACTCGTAGTCCTCAATCGCGCAAATGCGTGCATCGTCTTGCCAAGGACGCTTTATAGGAAGTCAAACACCTTACAAAAATGTTGCAGTTGACTGTTTGATTTGAAATGAGACAATTCTCCAAACTTGGGCCCAGCGGAAAACAATTTGGTGGTTACTGAGGAAATCCCCAACCAGCGTAATTATATATACCGGCCTGTCGACCCAGGAGGGTAAAGGGGACGGGGCCTAAAACGTCAAGTTAATAAAACTGTTGGGAAACGACACCCGGTTGGAACTGGTGTGCTCAACCCTTTCCACTTCCTTGTATGGCAGAATAGGCACACAGTCGCGAGTGGACGGAAGCCCATTGTCTAGCAAGCAAGCAAGCAAGGCATGTGTGAAGGTTGAGACATACCCGCATCCTA